TGGTGTAGTGGTGAAGTGCGCTGCTCCCCGGTAAGGACAACGGCGCGTGTTCGTTCCCCACTGCATACACCTGTGGTCCGGAGTTTTGCAAATATCTCAGCATTTCATACGAGTTATAATTCGAAACATACCCTGCCATTAAGAAGAAAAAGGCAGTAAATAAAAGAGTTAAGATTATGCGTCTATTCAAGGACAACATACAAAACATTTCTCGTATTTTAGGTTTCCGCAGGAAATAGCTCCTAATTTTTGAAATAGACGAAAAAATCAAATAAAGGACGATGTGCCACTCCATTCTAGTTTCCTGCTTCCCACAATGTCTTGCTCTTTACGGTGACTGGAAGGCATTATTGGATATCACATTGGTGATGTTATCAGCACAGTCGAGGGATACACTGACATTTTTTTTGGAAGTTCAGCAAACGTTAAACCTATGTGTTTTTTTATATGTTTTTATGAACCGATCTTGTTGAGCTGATTCGAGGTTGGTATTAAGCAACAGTATGGCAGTGCCTGATGAACTGATTGGGGCTACCTCACTGTCAAAACAGTACAAAATGCCACCATGCGAAAGTTATATGTAGAACTTTTCGAATCGTTCGAAAGAGAAAGGGAACTCACTAGGCAAACGTGCTTCGCCAGAAAAATTGAATAAACCTTAATGTTGCCCGTTGAAGTTACTTGAAGAATAGTGGAATCACAAGAGATATAGGGGATATAGGCATCGCAATCAAAAGAAAGCTTCATTTAGTCCAACATATAAAGAAGCGCTGAGTTTCCAGCAGTTTTTCGATGTGTTTTAAAGCAGAAGTATTTTTGAGGAACAACTAATTCACTGTAAAAAGATTAGAAACAAACCGAGTGTGACGTGTTGATGCCGTGCACAATTTCCTCTCCGTCCTTTTGATAACGAACTTCAAATGTTTGATCAGATCCACCGTCAAATCCGGGAGTCCATGAGATAGTTATCGTATTTGACGTGACATTTGTTACATGAATATCTAACGGAGCATCTGGTGGTGAAGGAGGCCCAATCTGTGAATGAATACAAGCAGAGTGCCTCGAAACATATCCTTTTTCTTGCAATTATATAAAGATATGACATAATTGCTTGCTGCTTTTTAGCAGTTCTAGTAAAAAAAAAACTAAAGAATGCCCACTGGAATGTGAATACTATCCGTGCCAAAGCTGTTTCTAGCGGTGCAGCTTACATCCTTTGCATAGTCGTCCGGTGACAAATTACTGATCCATAACGTACTCTAGAATATTACAGAAAATCTTAAAGAAGTGCTAAACCGTGGACGGATTCCAAACCTTTGCACTACTTTGTGCCTACTATCTAAATAAACTTTTGAAAATTTTCAACCTAAGAAATTTTTTTCTTCACTGGTTGCTTCTCTCTTTTATCACATTTATTGACGTTGATATCTTCATTCCATTGTCATTGTTGTATCTACCAAAATCTAGTATTTTCGTACAATTATTTGTATTTAAAGTGTATATTAAGACAAATCCATGCGAAATACTCTAATTTTTAGGAAGTTTCGAACAATTAAATCAACAAATGGTATATTTTCAGATCAAACCGGCGACATTAAGGAGAAACTTTGTATGATTCTGCGTGGTTTAGAGTAAGCTTCAGCTATTCTTAAATATGATTTTAGGTAACCTAATAATCGATGGACACACCTCAAACGTTGAATAATCCAGTTGGATAGTGGACATGCTGTATTTTGAGTTATTGCTCTGAATAATCTCACCGGCACGATCCCAAACAAAATCTGCATCAGGAACAGCATGGGCACGACAACGAGCACGAGCTCGACCTCCTATAAAGTATTGAACAATAATATAAAAAAGGGAATAAACTCAACACGTATGAAAAGCATAGATGTGGATAGTAATTTTTCAATCTCTTGAATTTAGAGGTCTTTAAACCGTCTAGGACTGCACCATCGCAGTTGTGAATATAGAAGAATTACTTACTTGATACTTACATGAATGGCCGTCCTCACTGGTTGTGTGGGCCCCCAGCACGAACTCTATTTTTCGGAGATTTGCTGGTTAAGCTATTATAGTTTTTTGCAGTACCGAGATTAGCTTGGGCAAAATCTGCCAAGGTCTTCACCACCAAAGGCAGTCAGCCCTTGTGGATCAGAGAGAGATTTACCACCATGTGACTTTGATGCCAGGACGGTTGTAGATCCTAGTATTGGTTTATTCTTAGCTAGGCTTCCTTATAGAAACGTCGGACTCCTTTTCAGCTTTGGAGACTGCTGGAGAGACGAATCTTCCCGCTCTACATCGTAGTCTGGCACCCAGGTGCACCTCCTAGCCACGATGAGGCAGTAAACCATTGGTAGGTCATAAAAGAATTAAGACTTTGAAATCCAAGCCAGGGTATATTTTTTTAATTTCTTAAACTCCAGATATTGCATTGTATACTTCCATTTGTATTTACCATCTTTTCCTTTTCCTACATCCTCGTATCAAATTTCCTTAAGAAAGACGAAAAATAAACTGTAAAAAACGTCCATAACTGAGAATGCAAATGGATGGAAGTTGTAATTGATGACAAAGCACATTGATGTTAACAAAACGGGTCTTCCATGAAGAAGAACACACCGAGAGGGCCAGCAGCTCTTGAGTGAGACGGTAGCATCATAATCTTCGGCGCTGAGTTCACCAATAGATATGCAGTACTTTCACCGGGAAATCCAATACCATTATCGGCACGGCAGACGTACTGACCAGCTGCCTCTTTCGTGGCGTTCAATCGTAGATTCACCTGCGTTTCACTTCGCTTCGTTGACGGAATCTAGTAAGAAATCGCATTTAGAATCTAATGTGAAAAACCTTTAAAGGTTCAGCTAAAAAAAGCGAGAACGCACGGTTTCGGTGAGATTTTACTATCTTTAAAAGGTACATAAGTTCATCAGAATACGGTATTCTTATGGTGTGAATTACTGAAAAGAATTGAAATTACACATAAGTAATTTCACTCTCGACAGCGCTTGAGTTTATTTTTGGAAGTCAACTTTATTCTAATGTTATGCAGAATGTATATATCTAAATAATAAAATACAACAACGCTATTGCGGCATTGATGGTCTTCTTTGGTCTCATATCCTCCTCTTTCGTTCACTCTTTAACGTGGCATAATATTGTGGTTGTCACGGCTTACCACCCATATTACCTACCAGTTCATCAAAAAGAGCTACTTATACAAGAAGAAACTAAGAAGATTACATAGCAGTTTTCTTAAGTCCATAGCAGGAAAAGAAGTGATATAAAGCGAATATTTACATCTACCTACTAACCGCTATCAGTAGAAAGATGAATGTTAACATAAAAAATGAAAAAAATGTAATAGTCTTGTAGTTGTCTGAAGAAAGGAAGTCTTTGAAAAACACCTATGTTAAAGTGCTTTAAAATTAAATAACAAACCCTTACTCCTGCAATTATTGAGTGACAAATACAAAAACACTCTCAAAATAGGATCTTTTCTTTTCGAATTATCATGGTGTTGTAAAAAGCTTGGGTACCACCTCCTTGCCATTTCTTATCCATCGCACCATATTCGGTTTTCGTGGTACACCGTCTGCTTCGCATTCCAGCAACACCGTTTCGCCTTCAGCAGCGATAATTGGCGATGAAATTCTTGTGATCTATGAAATGCAGAATCCAAAAATTCTACACGTGACACTACTTTGAAGTGATAGCGCTTACTCGTGCACTGTACTCTACAGTTAGTTGGATAGTAACGTTGGCTGTACCGACACTATTCACCGCGAACAATGTGTACATACCGCCATCGGAGCTCTATAACAAAGAAAAAGTGTTGGATAATAATTGTTTGGCTTGGGTTAATGAAACAGCTTTAGACCAATGCCTGTTTTCAGCTTTTTCACAACTTGAAAAAAAGTAGGTTGAGCACTTAAATAAACATCTGCTTTTTAAATATGATCGTATATGTCATCACTGAAAAGTACTGGACTGAGGTCTTCTGAAATATTGTGACAAGCGAACCTATCTATTTATTGTGTATCTTTTAATCATTCTAAGACTTAAATATAGATCTGTGGACGATTAGGAAATTAAGATTAAGGTGTTACAAAATCGCTGGTAAGGTTTACTAAAGAATACAAGCGATTTTAGAACATCCAAGCAGTTAGTTAGTAGTTGCTGATACATTAAAGCGATTAATAACTCGACTTGAGGAATAAATTATTTCGGCGCACCCTATAACCGCACAGAAATGCGAATCCGAGAATTTTTTCGTACCTTAACATTTCGCCCTGAAAGTGTCGCACCACGTGCAAACACATTTCCAATAGTATGGTCAAATGGTACGCCATTTTTTCGCCATCGCCATGCTGACACTGGTGGGTTTCCTTTTACGGTCATATTTTCACGAAAGGAATCCGATTCACCGACTACAATATTAATTGGGCTGTTCACAATTAGACGAGGTGCATCTGAAACAATGACTATTTACTCGTTCTTAAGTTAGATGCCTATCATTTCTCTATCTAACAATTACGTAGTTTAAAAGCGATTTAGCTTAGAAGTACGGCGGTGAAGATCTATGGCTTTGTTTTTTATCAAATGTTGCGTTTTTTTTTGATACGCTGAAACCAATAGTGTTTCATCTCAAATTGGTTGCGCAATGTTTTTGGGTGTCGAATCGCTATGTTAAACGGCGTTCTTTCCTCGAGCAAGGTCACAAATTGAAATGGATTTCAATAGATTTCAACATTAATATCCAGAAGCCCATTTGAGAGAAAAAATATGCCACCGCGGACATCGTCAAGCTGCCTTTAGCTGACATCTCATCAAAGTCTTCAAAAATGTCATGCAGAGCAGTTGTAAAGTACTTTGTCTCTTCTAGATGTGCGGATACGCCTTATCACTAAAAAGCGCTTGACAGTTTTACCGTTACCAGCTTGCGCTGCTCACTGATTAGCGGGAAAACACGTTACACGAGGAACGTTTATGCAGTAATTTTAAACCCGACACAGCTATCACAGTACTTAATCTACCGGTCTGAGATCTATTCAGTCACATTTTGCAATCTATAATGTCCCTCCAAAATATAATATATTTAGTATAAAAAGGCTAAACTTTTATCATTTCACACAAAAGTAGCTTTGCTGTGTATGGTTTGTAAATCCACTTACAGAGCACGTTCAGTGGATATGTGGCGTTCTTCGCTGCTGGCCATAGTGGATTACTAGCAATGCATCGAACTAGTGTTCCATCATACTCTTCCGTTGGAGTGAATGTAACGGCATTTTGTACAGTATGACCAGAGTCACGTGATCTGAATCAGTTGTTCGACTGAGGACTACGGCATTACAAAGTCCCTCATTGGGCTATAGTTACTTCAGTAGATGTTGTTGATGTTATTCGTAAATTTTTGCTGAAAGTATTCAGAATTAGGAAATATCGAATAGCTTCACTTCCACATCATTACCGGTACATGCCACTCTAGACTGTTGCCGTATTCCTGTCGCGAATCTAGTTCCGTAAGAATTACGAAAGTTATGGAAGGAAGTGAACTGCATTAAAGCTGTTGTTCGTTTGCTGGTTTTGAAACCAGGACAACCTCTTTTCAGTTATTTCTTTTTTTTCGATGGCAAATTCAAAAACAACAGTTTAAGAAAAACTGGTATTGTTGGTAAAATTTTCAATTTTATTCCGCTCTGTAATTTTATAATAAAAGGCTTTCTAAAGCTCTCGGCATTGATCAATCTCTGAGGGATGCACCATGCATTCGATAACACTAATTATCGTTTGGAGGTGAATGAATGCATATCTAGCCTTTACAATGACTCGCGGTGGTCTACCGATATATCGAGCCACTGCTGTTATCCTCCCAAACAAGTCTGGTACCAATTTGCCGACTCAGGAGGGATGGAAGGCTCCGTGGGC